TTGACTCATAGCCTAAAGCCAAGGGAGATGGAGACATGTCGATGTTTCATCTACCCTATAACGTTACGAACAGATGTTGATATGTTGCGCCTAAGGCCGTTCTGTATTACGTTGGGCCTAAGGCCGTTCTGTATGATGTTGGACCCGAGGCCGTTTTGGAATGAATTCAAGACTGAGACAAGCAAATAACCTATGAAATTATATTCTTCGCGTCTTATGCTCATTCATATGAATCTCCTTACATTGTTATTATTCACTGAGCCTTGCTCACTCTATATTTATGTAGGTGATCAACCTGGGGGCCAGCCCTAGTTCAGTTACGGCAGCTTTTTGTTGACCCTGTTGTGTCAAGCCGAGCAAAGTAGAGTCTTTTGCATTTTGCGGAGTTCCCTCTTATAGTACACATTGTTGGGTCATTGGTGATTTTTTCAAACAAGTTGTTAATATGTATAACTTTAAATTTCTCGATGTTTTGATTATACCCCATGAAGGGGGCTTGTCTATATTTATGTATATACATATGTGGACCATGTATGTATTAAGGTATGTGATGAAATGTTTTAAGATCCTGGCATTTAGATATTACTCAATGGGCATTTCAATTTTTTATTAATTGCTTCCGTTAGGCCCCAATATGATATAGAATATGTGTTCATTTTGGGTTTGAGCCCTAAATTCAAGCCGGTCATGTCCAAACTTTTAGGAGCTAGGTTGGGTCGTGACAGATTTCTTTACGGTGAACAGATATAAATTCAAAGATACATTTAACATGCAATTAGCACCCAAAATTAAACTAAGCACACATTCACAGACATAATTATGATTAATAGCATAACACAGAATAGGGTTATCACAATCTTTCCCCCTTCGGGAAGTTTGGTCCTCTAAACTTATGTTACCTTCCGTCGAAAACAAATGTGGGTAGTGTTGTTGTATCTCTTCTTCTTTTTGCCACGTGTCATCCCTTCCATGATATTCTTTCCATTCCACTTTTACCATTGGAATGGATTTGTTTCTTAGCTGCTTTACTTGTCAATCAATAATCCGATCCGGCCATTCCCTGTACTCTATATTTTCGTCAAGGGCTATTCGGTGATAATCAATTACGTGGAATGGATCCCGTAGATAGCCCCTCAACATTAATATGTCGAATACGTTGTGCATTTTTTCCATTCCCGGCGGTAGAGCAACTCTATAAGCAACTGGACCAAGCCTTTCTAGAATTTGAAACGGTCCAATGTAACTGGTTGATAATTTGTCCTTTTTACCGAATCTTAATTGGCCTTTCATGGATTTACACGGATGAACACATGATTACCAACCTCATACTCAAGGGGTCTTCTTCTAACATCCGCATAACTCTTTTGCCGGCTCTATGCCATCTTAAGCCTTTGTTGAATGACTTTGATTTTATCGGTAGTTGTCTACACAAGCTCAAGTCCAAGCAAGACCCTATCTCCAACTTCAGTCCAACATATCGGAGACCTACATTTTTAGCCATACAAAGCTTCATATGGTGCATGGACTGAAACAACCTCCAAAACAGTGGCATAAGAAATTTGACAAAGTAATAGTATCAAATGATTTTAAGATACATGAATCTGATAAGTGTGTGTACGGTATGTTTACTGGCAATAGAGTTGTAATCATACGCCTATATGTAGATGATATGCTTATTTTTTGTTCTAACAATGATGTCATTAAAAGTACTAAAAGTTTTTTATCATCTAATTTTAGTATGAAAGACATGGGCTTGGCTGATATAATTCTTGGTATTAAGATCAAACAAGAGGACAATAATTTGATTCTTACCCAGTCGCACTATATTGAGAAAATTCTTAAGAAATTTAATCAATATAATTGTACACCCATGTCTACACTTTTTTATTCAACTTTGAAATTGTATCCTAATAGTGGAAGATCTGTTGATCAGCTAAAACACTCAAGAGTGATAGGTAGCCTGATGTATGCCATGACTTGCACTAGACCTGATATTGCATTTGCAGTGGAAAAACTTAGTAGATACGCTAGTAATCCTAGTAGTGTGCATTGGCATGTTGTTAATTGAATACTTAGGTACTTGAGGAAAACGATAGACTATGGAATAGTCTATGATGGCTATCCAGCAGTGCTGGAAGGATTCATGGATGCTAGTTGAATAACTGACCATGAAGATCACTCGTTCACGAGTGGTTGGATTTTTACTCTTGGAGGAGCTATCTCTTTGAGTTCTAAGAAGCAAACATGCATAACAGACTCAATCATGGTGTCAGAGTTTGCAACATTGGTTTCTTGTAGCAAAGAGGCAGAGTGACTAAGAAATCTCTTATCAAATCTTTTGGTTTTCTTTTTTCATTTAATTTTTGTTTGAATGTATTAATCGTTAAGGCATCAACTATTGCAACACCCAAAAAAAAAAAAAAAAAAAAAAAAAAAAAAAAAAAAAATTCATCCTCACGTAATCTCCCACAAAATATCAATATGATCTTTAGCTGCCAAATTCAAAACAACGTATATTATAAATAAGGGTAAGACAGGTATTTTACACTCTAAAATAACATTGAGGGACCTTAGGCTACAAAAGAACACATTGTGGACCTAATCCATTACTAAAAGTTGGATAGAGACCTTAAACCGATTTTCCCATAATTTTTTATTCAACCAACATATTGAGTAAGCTTAGAAACATAATTTAGTTATATAAATGAGTTGATCTGACAAAAACTTTGAACATGTGTTAAGATGGAGTAGGTTAATTTATTTTAATCATATTCGGTATGATCACTTTTAAAAAATTATTTTTGTTGTGTAGTTTTAGTGTTTTCATATATAGAAATGAAAAAAAATAAAGAAAGTTGAGAATCATTCATCCTACCAAAAACATTTGAATTTTTTTGAAATAAATAATAGATAATGGAAAATTTAAAATATATTTATTACAATAATAAAAATAAATTATGAGTGTACACCTAATTAATAATTGTCAATAAAACTAATTGGGAGTTTCTTTAACTTGCAACAAGTTTCCACAACCTTTATTTTATCATTTTTAATTTTTTAATTTTTTTTAAAAGTTGAGTTTCTCTCTAGTCGGTGATTATGTGAGAGGTCATAATTGACTTAGTGGATCCACATAAAACGATGAATAGTTCATTTTGTAATAATTTATTGATAATTATTTATACAAAAAATTAAAATTGATTGAATATTAGTGTTAGATAATTGAATTATATTTACCTTAAGAAACAAACATATTTTCAAAATTATATTTTCTATCCAATTTTATAAGATAAATGTAACTAAATTACGTGGTTACTGATATCAATGAGCCCAATAATCCCTCTCGAATTGGATCACCAAAATGAGAGAAGTCATTTTCTTTTCGTAGCGGAGTTAGAATAAATATGTACATATAGTATTACAAATATCTATTCTATTACATAAGACATGCAATTTCAAAAATATTTTTGAAGTCAAGCTTTATTATTATTTAAGAATGCTCATACTGTTAATTGTTTTAATAATAATTGCTAATAACTTTCAAATTTAACTAATGTCTCTCTTTGATTAAATTGCTAGAAAAAATATAGGTGTAAAATTAAAAATATAGGTGTGAAACTAAAATTTATAGTATACCTTATTGTGACTTACTCTTTTATCATTTAAAAATAAGCACACAATCTCTTATAGTTTATAACCTAAAGTATAATGTCAAGTATTTCTTCCAAGTTAATAACAGATGTGAAACATGTGACGAAACATTAAAAAAATAAAAATTGTGCTCATTTTCAAATATTTGGAGTAACCTGCAAATGGAGAACAAGAGTTTAAAATGAATTTTTGATTATAAGTAAATGACAAATGTACATGATTTGTACAATCAAATTACTTAATTATAAGGCCATTTTAGCATTTTTCGACTTAAACTATTACAGTGCTTGATACTTTTACCCTTATTATTTTCAAATAATAAGGGTAAAAGTAAAATTTTATTGAGTATGAGTTTCACTTTTCTCTAGTTTAAGGTCTTGATTGAAGGGTCTTATTCGGGTTCAATTCAATAATTCAAACAGTTTATTTTATAAGTTCATTTATTTTGCGTATATCATTCAAATAAAAATTAAATCGATTTGATTGTCATAGCCTACTTAATTATTGGCGCTGTTTGGAAACCCAAGTTTTAGGCTAAAATAGTCTCAAATACTAAAAAAGCCAAAATTGTCTCAAATAGTACCCTAAATTAATGATTTTTAATTTTTTTTTTTTTTTTAAAGAGAAAAAAGCAACTCGACAATGGGCAGCCTACACTTTTGGGAAGAGTTAAAAATGCCAGCTTTTGGCTTTTTACCCATTTTGAGTCACATCACCTCTCATATTTTTTATTCACAAAAAGACAAAATAGATTCAAAAAGTCAAAAAATCAACTTTTTATCAACTTCTCAAAACACTCTACTGTCACGTTGACAGTATAGAGACAGTGCAGTGACAGCCTAGTCCCACAGTAGTAAAGGACAATTTTGCCCCTATAGCTCAATTTTGGAAAAAGTGAAATTAGGGACAAATTTATCATTTCAACTTCAAACATTATTTCAAACACATTTTCCAATATAACAAGTCAAATAAAAATCAACCCATCTTTACAAACACAAAAACTAAAATAGCTAAAATAGTCAAAAAAAACTAAAAAACCAAAAAACTTAAAAATAGTTACTTCTCAAACACCTATATTGTATTTATCTCTAAAAAAATTAATAACAAATATGTGTTTTTTAAATTGACTATCTCTTTTTTTTAACCAACTTCCAAAATTTAATAAATTATAAATATTAAATTAATTTAAAATTTTATTAATGATATATAAAAAAATTTAAACAATTCAAATTATTAAAAATAAAAATAAAGATTTGTAATATACTGGCCCAAACAAAATCTCAAACTGCCTGAACACCCTATACGTAGGCAATATCCTAAAACTATAACCCAACCGTCAAAACCGGCAACTTTCGCTCCTATTCTCTCTCTCTCTCTCTCTCTCTCTCTCTCTACCAAAACCAGCGATTTCAAAGTTCCGATGTCTCTCTTTGCAATTCAACCCCATTTCTCAACCTTCTTCTTGTTCTTGAGTTTCCAGAATCTTCATTGCTCCATTGTTACAGCTTACATCTTCCAATTCACGCCTTTCTATACCCTTCTTCAATCTCTCCTTCTGTTTTCCTTCCGTTTGTTTCCCCAAAAAAATTAAAGGTAAAAAAAGAGAGAGGCAATTTTCAATCATATTCATATTTCCAGGCTTAATGCAACATTGATTTTCCTATGATTAACATATCTATATTTATATATTTGATTGACTTGTATTGTGTGTTCAGTGCTCTTAATTAAAAAAAAAAAAAGTTTTTTGGGTTTTGGTTATGGTTATTTTATTTTTTATATAAATCTCTTTTGATTGTAAGTGTTTTTAGAGTCTTGGTTTGTATTTTTTTATTTTTTGTGTATTAATGTTAATTATTCTTTTTATTTTCTTCCTTCAAAAATAAAAGAAGATAAAAAGTTTCATTATGTTATCAAGTTCCTTGGGAAGAATCTGACTATTATTTCACTTTGTTTGTATCAAAATGTTTTCACTGTTTATTTTTCTTTGTGTATATCAAATCTAAGAATCTTCGGTCTGTTGTTTTTAAAAACCGTACTAATTTTTGAAGAATTATTATCTTACTTTGTTTATATCAAAATTGTAAGTGTTCATATCTGTTTTTGTTTTCCTTCCGTTTGTTTCCCCAAAAAAATTAAAGGTAAAAAAAGAGAGAGGCAATTTTCAATCATATTCATATTTCCAGGCTTAATGCAACATTGATTTTCCTATGATTAACATATCTATATTTATATATTTGATTGACTTGTATTGTGTGTTCAGTGCTCTTAATTAAAAAAAAAAAAAGTTTTTTGGGTTTTGGTTATGGTTATTTTATTTTTTATATAAATCTCTTTTGATTGTAAGTGTTTTTAGAGTCTTGGTTTGTATTTTTTTATTTTTTGTGTATTAATGTTAATTATTCTTTTTATTTTCTTCCTTCAAAAATAAAAGAAGATAAAAAGTTTCATTATGTTATCAAGTTCCTTGGGAAGAATCTGACTATTATTTCACTTTGTTTGTATCAAAATGTTTTCACTGTTTATTTTTCTTTGTGTTTATCAAATCTATGAATCTTCGGTCTGTTGTTTTTAAAAACCGTACTAATTTTTGAAGAATTATTATCTTACTTTGTTTATATCAAAATTGTAAGTGTTCTCTATCTGTTTTTTAATGAGTTTGTAATGTATAATCATTTTTTTAATTAAAAAAAAAATCAATACTTTTTTTCAATTTGCTCACGCATCATGTGTGCCGGACCGCTAGTGTGTGTGTATATATATATATGTATTTGATTGACTTGTATTGTGTCTTGATTGTTGTTAGATAAATTAAAGGGACAATGTCAAGCCGGAAAAGGGAAGAAGAGAGGATTGAAAGGATAATTCGCAGTCTTTTGAAGCTTCCGGAGAATCGGAGATGTATCAACTGTAACAATTTGGTATGGCTTCTTGTTTATTTGAATTTGGATATGAATTTGAATTTGAAGTGTGGTAATTTGTAGCCATTGAACCTCTTTCACATTATATGAGGGCATATTATGCAGTAAAATGCAGAGTGGTAAAGAAAGATCGGTCTCTTATTCAGGTTCTTTACTGGTCTTTTGTGTTATTATGCTACTGATATCCATTTTTGACTGTGAAGTCTGTCCCTTACCGTGCTTCAGCTGGTTGAATAGTTACAATAACATTTGTATTGTAAACTTGCTTGCACCCACCCAACACAATGAATTTTTGACCTAGAGTAGGAAGGATGAAATTGAAAAGTCCTTTGGAAGTGTTGTGTGATTATAAAATTCTCATTCAGTTGAAGAAAATTTACAAGACTACTCAAGGCCAGCTACGTCATATGCTATAGAATGTTGGATGGTTAAGAAACTACATCGCAAACAATGGGTATAGCTAAAATGAGATTGTGAAAATGGATAAATGGTGTTACAAGAAAAGATAGGATAAGAAATTAATGTATTTGTGGGAAGTTAGTAATGATACCGATTGAAGATAAAATAAGAGTTATTTGACATGATACATGCATGAGTGACATAGACTATAATAAGGAGTGATTTGATCTAGGTTGATGTAGCAAAAGGAGAATAGGAAGAGAAGAACATGAGTCAATCCAAGCGATTGAGATAAAGGCTTGTTGAGTTGCTGTCTTTTCAACCAACTAATTGGATTTTTTTTATTATTATTGAGAACTCGTGGTCATTTATATATTAAAGTTCAGCTTTGATCAAGTATAACAGATGATTAATATCCATTAAAAACTCCTTTCTTTTGTAGTTTATGATCCTTGTATCTCTACATACTCCTCAAACTCCACCAAGATCAGTCAAAGTTCTCTGTTTACATATCACTATATTGGTTTTTGGTCAAGACTACTTAAAGACACGAGGAGAGTAGATTCCCAAATGTCATGTTCCAGATATTGTACATTTTTTCGTATCTTTCTGGTTTCCTTCAACTTAATTTCCACTATTGCGAGAATTATGGGAAGAGGTAGTCGAATAAAGTTCATCCTTCTAGACCTTCAGAGTGCAAACTACAGGAACATGGACTTTTTTCTTTTTCTTTTTGCTGCACAGGATGTTGCCACCAGCAGGTTTGAGTTGAGCTTTGATGTTGTCATGAAGTTTGATCCAGCTGCTGATCATTTCACAGTGAAGATAAGATATAGAGGGGAATTAGTGTTTGGCACATGCAAAAATTTGATGCTAGAATTCGTTCTTTGTGTTTGTACTAACATGGGCACCTCATTATGGAGAAACAAGTTTGAGTACACATGAAATGACCTTATCATGCCATTTTCTTATAAACAGCTAGAGCCTTAGTTCTATATCTCTTGTTTACGTTGAGTGAAGCACTACAGATTTTTCTGTAGCATTGCTGGCTATCCATTTTCATTTTCCCAAAGAAAGGATTGAGGTGCTGTCCATATATAATTATATTTTTATATTTTCCTGGGAAGTACTTGTCATGCATTAGTCATGGACTTCAAGGGAGAATTTATCAAAACTGTTGTTAGTATTTTAATTGTAGTTCCATGTTGAAGGCTATTCATAATATTGATGAGTACTGTATGTTACAATATTAAGGCTGACGTGTTCTTTAAGCAGGGGCCTCAATATGTTTGCACAACTTTCTGGACCTTCGTTTGCACAAGCTGTAGTGGGGTACAGTAAGTGTTAATATGTTGTTCTTACATCTACTGTGTTTACACACTTTTCTCATTCATGATAGGCTGAATGTGATTGGGGCCAAGTTTTATTTCATATTAGATCATCGAAATTTACTTCAGATAGATTTTCTGGGGCTGATTGATTACTTTGAATCAATTGTAGTCGGGAATTCACCCACCGAGTAAAATCAGTGTCAATGGCTAAATTTAAGGCAGAAGAAGTTAGTGCTCTTCAAGCTGGGGGAAATGAGGTGTGCAACATTTTCAAAATAGAGCTGGCCTTCTTTTATCTTTTTACTCCTCCCATCTATCTGCTGGTTCAAACCTTTCTGCTTATCATTGGCTGATTTGTTCATGTTTTCATAGAGAGCAAGGGAAATTTACTTCAAAGAGTGGGATCCACAGCGCCATTCATTTCCAAATAGCAGGTGCTTGTGTTTTTTTAATTTATGTTCTGTCAGAATACTCTATAAAGGTGACATCTGATTCAGTTTTTTTTTTGCAATCTAGTAGCCAGAGTATACTTCGGGATTTTATCAGGTCTGTCTACGTGGATAGAAAATTTACTGGTGAGAGAAGTGTGGGCAGGCTTGCAATGGTGAAAGGAGTAAGTATCTTACTCATCAACATATGTGCATAAGTATCTTACTCATCAACATATGTGCACAACTATAATTTTCTTTTTATCTGTTGAAAAGCTTTTCTGATCTCATATTGATCTGGTTAATATAGAAAACAGCTAGTAGCTCATGACGTTCTGTCTCTTCATTTCAGTTTCCATGCTTTTTAGGATTCCCATAGGTAAATTTATCTTCTTCCTATTTTTTTTTAATACTACAGGGTGACAGGGAGGACTCCTTTGAGCGGCGTTCTATTGAAAGATCTAGTCCTGGAGGAAGAATTGAGGACAGAACTTTAAAATATTATATTGATGAAAGAGGAAGTCCCCACTACAAACTAAACAATGTCGGATCTTTTAGCCGCAGGAATCGTCCTGTTAACTTTGAGATAGTTGATGACAGGTTTCGAGATGATCGATTTGGAAGTCGTAGGCGATCTGAAAGCCATAGGCCTTCCAATGAAGAATCCAGGGCTGAGAGCGGGTCACCAGTTTCTCAAAAAGGCAGGCAGAAGATCAGTCCCCCAATAGTGCACCCTGTCAGGGATACTTCAGGCGAGAATGGTCCCTCTCTTCAGGTAGGCACTTTTGCTTCATTATGCAATAATAGCATCTTATGCTATTGTGTGTGTGTGTCTCCTTCTATGACATATAAGTGTAAGTTGCTCAAGATGTCCTTCTTTCGTTATACTATGGAAAAAAGTGTATTGAAATGTGTGTAAAATATATATAAATATATTTAGTGAATGAAAATATGTGAAATGCGTATTGCAATTGTTACTTTTTTGGCATTATGTGAAGCTTAACTAACACCCATTGTGCGGTGGTTAACAAGACCCATACATTATATTTTTATTTGTTTTCTCCCTTACTTTGAGATAGGGTATTAACTCCTGCAATTTTGTGCAGAATCATATGAGTTGCACAGAATTTGCAAGGTGAAAATACGGAGATTTTTATTGGAACCTGACCGTGTACACCCATTTATCCTTTTGTGATTTTCTTCTTGTCATCCCTGCCATTTTGAGCTGCAGTGTATGGCACTATACTTGCCTCAGAGGCCAAGTTGTCCATCCACTAATTCCCATAAATAGTGGTGGCATCTCTTATATGATCTCCTCTTTGAGATTACTGATTGTGCTGAAACTGATCATGTTAAATTTTATTCTGTATTTGGTTGTTTCGTATTTCTCAAGGCAACTTCATAATTGAAAACCGAGAAGTCCAAAATGATTGTCCTGGGCAGGTGGTTCTTTTTCAGGAATGATTATCCATTTTATTGACTTCTTTATTTTTTGGGTTTGTTAGAATCTAAAAAATCGGATGCGTTTGGGAAGAATTTAATTAATTTATTTATTTATTAACTGGGAAGTTGAGTAGATCCTTAGATTTTTTAGCTAATGACAAACAAATTTTTAACTTTTTGGCAGAAAAATAAAAAGTTTCTTTGAAATGTAAATCTTTGTGCCTGTATTTCCTAGTTAACCATATAAAGTTGTGAGTACTCAACTCCACATGTCCTCGTTCCTTTCATAATATACTGCATAGTGGTTTCATGTGAAAGGTGATGAACATTGTAGGCACAGGGGTCCACTTGCCTACACAACGTGGCACATCACTGCTATGTCATCCTTTGTATATCCCGGGGACCTACATGTCAGGCTCAAGTGATGACATTTGACTGATGAGCTATCACCACAAATCTTGATACTAATTGGCGGTTTCAGAATTTTTTTCAATTCTCATTGTTACAAAACATCATCACAATAAGCACACTATCATGCATATTTTCTAAATGTAGTTCTGTAATTACTCTACTCAAGCACATCCATATTCATGACCTAACTCACACCTGTTCCCTCCCCCTTCCCCATCAGGAACACAACCCAGAGGTTGCTAGCCCCTGACACCGTGTAGTACCTTCCTAGGCTCTAACCGGAGGATGAACTGCCACATCTCCCAATCAAGCTTACATCAACCTAGACTCACATCGTCAGCCTACCCCAACACATGATTATTAATTTCCAAATATCTTAACCCCTCTTTTTAGATAATTAAATCAACGAAATCATAGTTTCCACCTCCGCACTCAAAATTGTTCATTACACAGTCAAAGAAGTAACAAGACAAAGTGTGTGTTTGTCTTGTTACTTCCTTAATTAAGGTCCCGATTCAAGTATCTACCCAAAGTCCCCCACTTTCTGTACCACTTTACAGATTTTGGGACCCAAACACCAAAATGAATTACTCCATTCTCAAGCAATTTATCAAATGGAAGACTCAACCACACCATTCACACATGGAGTCTACCAGGCACAAAAAAATCCATTTCTCTTTCCCGAGTCGGAACAGAAACAGCTCCCACAAACCGAGACGTCAACTCACAAACAAAATTAACTCAATGAGGGTGAGGAAACAACTTCATCAAGGTCCACTATGATACTAAGTCCATAATTAAGATATCAACTGCATTAATTTAATGTTCAAATTAACCCTGCCATTACAGCATGCCTTGTACCCCTCTATACCTGAGGATCACTATTCATTACCTTTCCAACTCGAGCCTCTCAGAGGATATTGTTTCCTTTATCAGTTGGGGTCATTTCACGAACAAAATGTCACACAATGCGGAGCCAATCACCTGGCCCTCGACTTTGTGGCCTTGACATGGGGTGAACAAGTCTTTGTGGTAGGATTTTAAATATTGGCCATTACATAATGGGATTTTGGACTTCTGATACCATTATTCACTAATATATCAGTCGATATGGACTAATAGATGACCGTATCACCAATACTGATACATATCCGATACCGTTATTTAAAACAATTACTAATACATATTCGCTAAGTTCAAATTAGGCTCTTGTTCCTCAAGTGTTGCAGAAGAATTTGCTAATGCAATGTGTTTGGAAGGCTAGCATATTCTGTAATTTCATGAGGTTGAAGGTATGCTGAATTGTTCTTTAAATTTTTCTCATTGCAGAAAACAGCGTCTTTGACTGTTCCAGGCTCTGTTGATGGGAAATCACTGAAATTTAAAAGAGTGACCTCAGGTAGTTTGATTGAGTTTGTTTCTGATTCTATGCCTCCTCATGCAGCAGCAACACAAATCCAACAAACATCTCTATCAACCAATGGTGGCAATAGGGACTCTGTTCAATCTTCCACAAAGGCAAAGGTGTCTGATGATACAAATGTAAATTCTTTGGAATTTTTATTGTTTGGATTGTCAGTTCCTGCAGCTGCACCTGTAGATAAAATGTCTGCAGCAACAGGCAATGCTGATGCTCAATCAGCCGTACCTGTAGAATTATCCAATAATGTTGGAGCTATTGTAACTGTGTCAACAACCAATGTACCAGCAGTCCTCAGCACTGGGGATGCTCATGCAGCTTCACCTGCAGGAATAGCACCAATAGTGCCTAATAGTAGGAGTGATTCCATGGTCAAAGTTACAGACGGACAACAGTTGTCTATTGTGCAGTCAAATCAGCCATATTCATCTCCTTCTGGTGATTGTAACTCTGCTACTCAACACACTACATCAGTTGGACCTTTATATAATCAGGTCAAATTGTTTTTTCTAGTCTCAAGGTCCTACTTAGTGGATTTATTGTTCTTGGCTGTATCTAATACTCAATTCCTAAGAAGCACGGACATGGGACACAATGATTTTGAAAAAATTAGCATACAGACACAACGGGGATAATGAAAAAATAATATACATTCTATAATTTTTATTTACGATGTATATGAACATAAATTTAGGGCACAAAGACACAAGAGGCATCAATGTATGTGTGGAAATAATTGTATTTTTTCTATTTCACTTTCCTCTTGTTTTCATATAATTTACTTTGATCCCAAATCATCTTTCTAAAATTATAAAAAGAAGACTCACGAGGGTGTCTTGAGAACTGTCCAAACACAGGACGCACATGTCAATGATGTGTTCCCAAAGTGTCCTGAAAAAATCAATAATAATTAAAAATTGACACATGCACATGACATGTCCGATACGTGTCCCCGGGGTGTTTGTGTCCCATACGTGTAACGAAAAAAAAAAAAAACCATTTTGAAGTGTCGGTGCTTCATAATTCAATTCTTTTTTTAAATTCTAGAATTTGAATATGAAGTGTGTGAAAATTGGTTAAAATCTGGATATGCATAAGATGAAATGGTAGCAAAATGTTTGATTTTTTAAATCAGTTGCCTTATGTAGTAGGTAAGTATATTTCTTCTTGTGCATATCTGCAGTCATGTACTTCATCACTTGCACCAAATGCTCAAAGTCCTTCAAGTGATTCTGCCAAAGACTCGTCTCAAGCTAGCTCTAAAGTGGCCCAAAATAATAACTCTGGTGTTGGGTTGCAAGCTCTTCAGGTGGAAGCAAAGCCTATTGAGAGGAAGGAACTTCCAGTGGTAATAGCAATTTGTGTTGTTTACTTTCTGTTATTTTATGGTATTTTTTCCAAGTGTTCTAAATTATATGAAATGAATTCTCCAGTTCCTCTTCACTTCAAGCTTTTCACCGTTTACTGCGCCAGTTCCTAGTTGGCAAACTAGTGCACCTCATGGAATGGGATATAGCATGCAGTATCATCCTAATGCAGTGGTATCTAATCTGCCAACATATCTATGTCAAATAAGTTGGTTATCAACTCCGACTATCTTATGATAGTTTCTAACTTAAGAATGGATTTTTTTTGTTATAGCCAATGCCAGCTTTTCCTAATTCAGCAAAATCAAGAAATCCATTTGATCTCGATGATGAAAGCACTCAAGCTCAAGTCTCGATGGTATGCATATTCATACTGAATCTGTTGTAATTTTGTTGGCGCGCACACCTAAAAAAAAAAAAAACTGAAAAGAGACGGTACTTGGGTTCTGTTGGACTTGTGAGAACAATTTAATATGTTAAAACAGCCAATAAAGGTCTTGTGTGCATGGTTATTAGTTGATAGAGTATTTTGTATGTGCAATAGGATAAGAAGTCAACTCACTGATTTGAGTTGAGGAGTATAGGATAAGTTGGAGCAAAATATAAATTCCCTTCTGGGAGTGGGCTCGTATGGTAATTAGGGGCAGAGTTTCAGTCATGGCTGTGCTGAGATATTTTTATTGTTTAATTTCATTATTTGTAGAATATTTTAAATATATTAAGAAAGGTTAAAGTGAAGCTGGAAGCTATTTGTTGTAAGATCACAAGCATGGGGCCTGCATTTTTCTTTTTTCTTTTAGATTTAAAATCCGATGTAAAGCATCGAGCTTGATGTTTTTATGTCCAAGCATTTACAAAAATAAGAGGGTTATGTTGAACTAGACAGTAAGGGAATTCGTCAATTCATTTTGTCATCTTTAGTCATTAGGAGGCCTTCAGGGTGTCAGAGATGAACATTCTTACTCCAAACTTTACTGGAAAGTTCTTCCGTGTTAAGGTGACGAGGAGTGAATACTGCTTGAAATACAGAATGATTTGATAATACAAAATTAGCTGGTCAATTATGTCTTTTTGAATCACTTTCTTGTGGACGATTTTGTGAGGCTTCACATTTGCTATATTTTTGAAACCCCATTTGAACCAGATAAAACTTCCTCTTTTATTTTGTCTTCAATGTTAAATTTTGTGTTTCCTGTGTTGTAGTTTCCTCCAATGTTGCCTTGGCATGACACGCACTCCTCCCAGTTGATGCAGCCTCAAGCATCACCTTATGCATCTACAGTGTCTCCGCAGTTGCCTTCTTATGGAATGTCTATGTCTCCCAGTAAAATCACATCATTATCATTTGTTTTGTTTAACTTCCGTTCATTCAAAAATTTGTTATGTATTTTCTCGTCAAATAATTTCAGGTGCATTTGTGGGGCAACAATTGCCGAATAGTATGCCATTTTCAGGGTAAGTTCTTGCTTTTGGTTCTCTGTTGAAAATTTTCCTATGTAGATCCTTCTTGTTCACTGCCATGAGACTCTGCAGGGCTTTATCATTTTCTTAAAAAGGTGTCTTACATTAATGCTCAAAACTTGTCAAAAATGCAATATGGAACAAACAACAAAAATCTAGACGCTTTGGTGCAACTTCTAGCAAGCAAAAAGCTGATAACAACTCTTCCTTTGCTTTCCAATAGTCCGCTTCTTTTAGCTTATTGAAACTATTGCTGTCTTAAAAAATAAATAAATAAATAAATAATTTTAAAAAAAAAAACCTGTAATCACAAGTTACACCAAACATTTTGGCACATATTTCCACAAAAAAAGAAAGAAAAGAAGCAGCTGCTATAACCAGCTCTATAAGCTGCACCAAACAGCCCCATATTCCCAAAGTGGGGGAAAATATTTCATTTACATGTTGTCTTCTCAACGCCTCATTAATGCACAGAATTTGATGTATGGGATATACTTCTTCTTGGGCCTGCAATAAGGAGTGTTCTGAACGTAGACACTGTTCTGCTTCTTTTTCTTGTAGTTTTTACTCTCTCATATGAAATTATAGGTTTCATGAAAGAAATATGAGTAGAAGTTTCATGAAGTTTTTTAGAAATAATCTAGTGTGGTAGGTAACAAAACAAGAAAAGCGACTTACTTTAATGTAAGTATGTTTTAATTTTGAAGTCTTAATTTGCAAATAGTATAAACTTAATTTTGTTTTTTAGTGTTCTATGATTGATAGGTTGTAACTTAGTGTATGTGATTACATAACATATAATAAAATACTACTAACTAATCCAAGGGTGGAGAATTTTCATGAAACTTTTCCTGATGTTTTTTTTATGAAGCATAACATTACTCTATATGATACGATATTTGCTATCAAAAAGAATTAATTCCTTGACTTAATATCCTCTATTCCAGACCTCAAGGAATAAGTTGCGTTAGCGGTGGTGAAGCAGCTTTTGCCTCATGGAACCCAATTCAGCAGCCCAGTAGCAGATTCCTGGCACCTACTACATCAAATCCTTTTTCATCAACTGGGGGGAACCCATTTGGATAGTGGCTGGTATACATTATTTTTAATTCTATTTTCAAATCACCATCCTCTTGCTTTGGCTCCCAATATCTTCAGAGAAGCATGGTTACTTTTTGGTTGAGGATGAAATGCAATGATCCATCTGAATGACACAGTTTGTCTTTTAGAAAATGCTATCTTCTATGAATTTTTGCCCCGAAAATTACTCTAAAAGTGAGGTGTATGGTGTAGATTTAAAGTTAGTGGGATGTGGGCCACACCCGAAATGATTGTTGTCCATAGATGTACTTTTCTGGTAATTTTTCTGGATATATAGCATTGTTGTTGTCATTTAATGAAAAGGATTGTTATCCTTGGAAATGAGAATGTGCATATCATGTTGGGGATTTAGGAGTCCATTCAAGGTCTCGATGTTATTTGTAAAAAGTTTTTTGTTGTTGTAATGTATGGGAAAAAAACTCCCTGATAGGTTAAAGATGATCATCCAATGAGAAGATGAGGATAATGAGTTATCTTCATTATTGGATTTGGAAGATCATCTTCAACTTAGTATGGATTGTGCTAATGGTGCTCGGTTTTATGGAGGTTTAGAGGGAGCTATTTTCTTATTGGATTTGGAAGATCATCTTCAACTTAGTACAGAGTTTTTTTCCTTCTACTATCCGATCAATATATTTTTTTTTGTTTGTTTCCATGAAAAAAAAAAATTGGGTTTTTTGTTTTGGGTATGATGAAAAACGAAAGTTAATAAAAAAAAAAAAACAAGTTTATTTGATAGAAAAATGATTTCTACTTTCGAAAGGCAGCAAACTTATTTTGAACTAAATTTTTATCAATGCTATTATGCCACCACACTACCACCACGCCACCCCTATCACCATCACCACCACTATCACCCCCACCTCCACCTCCTCCTCCTCCAATCCACCACAACCGCTGCCGCCGCCGCCACCTTCAATATGGCAGTATGGTTAATAGTTATGTTAGAATGATGATATTTTAATATCATCTAATGTTTCAGAAATTTTTTATTTTTTATTTTTTTTGTAAATTTTGTCAACAAACACTCATCATTTTTATATAAAATTTTCATTTGTGCAAAGATATATTTTGTTTAATTCAAAATTAAATTTTGATGTTTTAAAAAAATGGGTTGTTTTCAAAAATTTCTTCTAAAAATATATTGGAAACTATTGCTAACCAGTTTTCTGTCTTTTTCATGAATAGAAAATAAAAATACAACCAAACAGGTTCTAAGGAGGATTTCAAAATCACGCTAACATACGAAAGTTCATATTTGAATCTTAAATTTATAAAAGATATTAATTTTTTGCTATGATTTTCCTTCAATGATCTTCTTGTACTTTTTATCATAATAAGACATGTAAGCAAAGTATATTATCCAATCTGTTAAAAAAAAGTACATTATCCAATGGTTCAAATTAAACTAAAATAAATGACATTGAAATCACACAATAAAACGATGTAGTTTTACTTGAACTTTAAACATAAGCCCATAGCGTGACTATTATAGAGAATCTTAATCCATTATAAAAAGATTTGCAGAAAGGAGAAAAAAAATGAAAAAGTGAAGGAAGTAGAAACTAAATATATTTCAATTTCCCTTTTCTTTCTTTTCACAAGTTCTTAATTCAAACACAATTTAAAAAGATCAGAAAACATCGACAACTAAAAAAACAAAGATAATTCACACACTAAAAATAAAAAACATCCACCTCCATATACATATTTACTATGGGTGTTCATGGATCCATACCATGGAACAAGATTGATATTGATCCAATTTCCTCAACCTAAGAAGCAAATGTGCAACAATCCCACACACAAATCCCAATCCAGCACTTGACCCAACAAGTGAAACAGCTGTGCACAAAATCATCACAAATGACTCTTCCTTGGACCCCATGTCTCTTGAACACATTGCTAGTTCTAACCCAGCAAACAAAAGCAAAACCCCCAAAACCCCAACTGGAAACTGGCCCAAAACCTTCACCAAAGAGGTCCCAAAAACCAAACCCAAGCCCAACTTGGCTGCACCCAAAAGGGCCACACACCCTCCACTCCTCCCCCCAAACTTGTACTGCCCGGCTAGCCCGCCCGCCCCATGGCAACATGGCATGGCCCCAAACCAACACCCAACCAAGTTCATCGCTCCAACTGTCATCGACACTGACGTCGCCGTGAAATCCTTTTCTGGAAAGAGATCTGATGACAACTTACACACGGCGATCACCGAGTTTAAGACAGACAAGGGTAATTGCGGGATTGTCCCCTTGAGAAACCCTTCTTTCCAAGCACTTTTGGAAATTTTCACTACTTTTATAGAAGATGGCCCAAATCTCAACAATTTAACCACTTTAGGCCCTCTTATGATTGCCAATACCACCCCCAACAAAAATATAATAAAAGCAGAAGGCAAAGAGGCTACAATTTGCCTCAATCGCTTCCTCTTTCCAACGCTCTCTTGATCATCAACACCACCATTAGTTTCTCTCTCCTCATTTTCATCATCACCACTACCATTGACAAGTATAATGAAACAAGCACAAATTAAGGCCAAAACCAACCCATCAAGCCCTAGCCAATGCCTCTCCCCACTAGCCTTGGACTTAGCAAAATTTTGTTCATTCCTAATGTACTTAACAGCAGTCATAGCAAATGACAAGCCTTGTGCTAGTTGAATCCCCCTAACAATAGAGAGTGGTATTAACTTGTACACAAATTGCATCAACCCTGTCACACCCAACACAAAAAGGATCGCCGCGGTCAAAATCCCAGCCGCCATCGCCTCCGGGACACCGAAATTAGGGTTTGATATTGCCACTGCAGCTATTGATTTCATGGGTTGGACAGGCATTGGGACACCATATATGGCACCAGTGACAATGTTGTAGGCCCCATTGAAAATTAGTGTGGTGCCAAGGTCTAAGTTTTTTGATAGCGTCATGGCCAACACTATTGGAATGTATGTGCCCAAATCCCCCATTGCACCATTCAATTCAGCCCATTTTGACCTAAAGGCCAAATTGTTTTTCAATTTTTCGACAGTGGCCAGAAAACTTGATGAGGGTGGTCCGGAGGTGGCCGGTGGCAGGGTTTGGGTGGTTTGAGGAAGTGGGTATTGGTGGGATTGAGATTCCATTGAAGTGAAGGAGTGAAGGGCTTGTACATGGAAATTACATAAAAATATTGTTGAGCCAAGTCTGGTTAAATAGAGAGTTGGTAAGTGGAGTCCAGATCCCCTCCTTGAGCTCCCTCCTTCATTTCTTTCTTGCAGGGGCCTTCGGGTCCACTTTGAAGCCCAGTTTTGATAATCCGAACCGTTCATATTTTTAGATTTATTCAGTATAGTATACCTGTAAAAAATCAAGTTGATCGGATATCAGAAAGTATCCGTTCAGAAAATTGGGACTACAAACTATTTTTTAATAAACAGTTTTCCGAACACATACTTTTTGATATTCGATCAATTTGATTTTTTACAGGTATGATATACTGAATAAATCTAAAAATATGAACGGTTCGGATTATCAAAACTGGGCCTCAAAGTAGACCCGAAGGCCCATGCAAGGAGGGAATGAAGGAGGGGGCTCAAGGGGAGGATCCCAATTCTGGTAAGTGACCCTTTGATTGCTGAGTGGTTGTTAAGAGATCAGAAATTTAAGCCATTTAATGCGGTTGGAGGGATCTTGGCCTCCACTGATTGAATCACCCGCAGGTGACTTGGCTTGGGTCACTCAAGGGATAATGCCATTTGACGTGTTCATGACAAGGATGTGATTTTTTGTGTTTTTTAATTTAATGGGAAAAGCTCAAGTCCACTCTCATTTTTATATGGGATGCAAATTTGTTCAATGTTTAGTGCAAGCTCTTCTTTGTATGTTAAATCTGTGCTAAAATGATTCTTATCAGTAGTGCAACTTTTATAAATTTTTTCATTGGTAAGCAATTGTTCCTAATTTAATGTGCAAATTACACTAACAGTTCCTATAGTCTAAGACTCTTTTCAATTGTAACACATTTGATCCTGCATTTTGAATCTTATTCCAAATAAGGACAATTGAAGATACAATTGCTTAATTTTAAGGGTAAAATCGTTAATTTAATAAAATATAAACTAATTTGACAAAAATAAATGTCAAAAAATTATTTTTGAATTTTTAAAATTATTTCTATCCACTAAAGATAAAATTATGTAAAATTAATAAACTTGTAGACATTTATTTATTTATTTATTTTTCTTTTTTACCAAATTAATTTTTTTTAAGTGTTTGGATGATGATCATTTAATGGATAATTGTTAAGATTTTAATGTGTAATCGATTTATTCAATATATAAAATGTTTTTAGTTTTGGATTTTCAATTTAATAGATTGATTTAATAATGATATCAAAGTTGTCGTCATATTTGACTTTTGAAAAAATAGAAACTAATTTAATGAAAAATTATTTTTAAAAATTATTTCTACCCACTAAAGATAAAATTATGTAAAATTAATAAATCTTGTTGACATTTATTTATTTATTTATTTTTACCAAATCAATTTTATTATGTATGTTGATGATGATCATGTAATGTGTGGTTATTTTTATTTTCATTAAATTAATTTCTATTTTTCCAAAAGTCAAATATGACGACAACTTTGATATCATTATTAAATCAATCTATTAAATTAAAAATCCAAAACTGAAAATATTTTATATATTAAATATATCGATTACACATTAAAATCTTAACAATTACCTATTACATGATCATCATCCAAACACTTAATAAAAATTAATTTGGTAAAAAAGAAAATTAAATAAATAAATAAATATCTAAAATATTTATCAATTTTACATAATTTCAGCTTTGATGGGTAGAAATAATTTTTAAAAATTTAAAAATATTTTTTTAACATTTATTTTTGTCAAATTAGTTTATATTTTATCAAATTGACGATTTTGCTCTCAAAATTAAGTAATGATATCTTCAATTGTCTTTATTTGAAATAAGATTTAAAATTCACGGTCATATGTGTCGCAATTAAAAAATCAGAGACCAAAATGATACAAGTCCTAAATTATAAGGGCCATTAGTGTAATTCGCCCTAATTTAATTATGAATAATGTTATATAAAAAAAATTATATTAACATTTTATATGAAACGACATAATAAGTTTTGATTTTATTACTTTGAATCAAAAGATTTGTTAAAGTGATGCAATTATCACTGTCACATTTTTTTGGTAATGAATTTTATAATTTTTTTTTTTTTTGTAAAAGTAGATTTTTCTATCTTTAATTTGTACACAGCATCTTAAATCATTAAATAATAAAATTTAATAGTTTAACAAAAATCTTTATTCTGACCTTTTGGAAAGGGTAATGCTAGGGATACCAAATTTTTTACCAAACAAATGACCAAATGTCTCACATGAGTGTGGGGTCCGCAATTTTGTAGGCCCACACCCATGTGAGACTAGTAATGAGTGGAGTTATGTCCACCGCGGGTGATTAGTGTTTTATTGGGAATCACTGTGGAGGATGGCTTGTTTATCTGAATTAAATGCTACCGCCCAACAAAGTCAAACATTGTTCACACTATTCAATAAGCGGTTAAAAAAAAAATAAGGGCAACTATCGATAGGTCTTAATAGTTAGATTTAATTCTCATTAAGTTTTATTAAAAATAATTTTTAATAAAATTATCATTAAAAATAATTTTTTTGTGACAATTTTTTGTGTGTGTCTCTAAAAATTGACAATTAGTGACTTTTTTTATTATGATTTTTATAAATTGTCACTAAAACTTATAATAAGTGAATTTTTTTAAGACAAAATTTTCTTATAGGACCTATTAGATAATAAGTTCACTTATTAGGATCTACACGTAAATACCCCTAAAAAAAAGTGTTATTAGTTTTTTTGGCTTATGCTTTGGTGGTCTTTCATTAATATTTTTGTTATACGCCCAATTGTGGGGCTAAGTCGAGGTATATGTGCGTAAGTTTTTTTGTATATTATTTACCTAATGTGATGTGTGGTCCTGGCATAATAGTGGTAGCTCAATGGAATAGATTTTTGTTATCAAGTGCTTCCGTTCAGGCCCCATACGTTACATATATCGGTTTTATGTCCGTTTCTGATGTAGTCATGCCCAAAACTTTTAGGGGCGGTTTTGGGTTGTGACAAGGGCAATAAAGACTTGAGTGAAAAATAATTGAACAACCTAACAGGGAGAATCAAGATGTAGTTAATCTACCATTTTGCTTCGTTGGATTGTCGTAATAAGATTCTATTACATTGTGAAGATGCATAAAGAATTCTTTTGTAAAATCTTGACGACACCGATCTCAAATGGTGCCCCCTTGATCACTTCAAGAAGTTCATTATGTCTTTGGACATCATTATCAAACTGGGGAAAATATGTTTCAAGTGAATTCCTCAATAAACACAAACTCAAATTAAACCTAACATGGTCACACCAGACTCAGCATGGTTGATTCATAACGTAGATTAAAACTAGTAGTACTGTTAGCCAAGGAGAACGTGAAATTGCATAATCAAACATCTTCAATGCACACAAATTCATTTTGAGGAGAGTATGGCATCTGATGCTCACAGGCGAAGGGCAACTTCATGCCATTTTAGTACAGTGTAGGCATTGAGATCAAGAACAAACAAATTACAGCATCAACTTGCTCTCAAATAACTGTTCTTAATCCAGTGAATAGGAAACAACCAATATCATATTATTGTTCCACACTTTGATTAACCTTAAGATACATGTATGTACATATTTATATGTTTATAAAAGGACACCTCTTTCAGCTTCCTTCCAAGCCGTAATAGCATGTGTTTCATACCAGGATCATTCTCACTATCTGTCGGTCATGACAACGCTTGTAGAAGTGAGGTCGGATATTGTCCCATTCCTTGCTAAAAGCTATTAACGTTCTCCAGTTTGTTGTATTGGGCTTGTTAACCATAAAAACGTCAATTAGCTTGTCACAAATTCGAGTCATTTTATGGTCATCCAAAGCCTCAATATCATCATTTCCATCACACTCGTCACTATTTTTTTTCCAGCACTCCATGATTAGATGAGGGATTAGATTCCTCAAAAAATGACACATTTGGTACTACAGTTGTATCACCAACTACAGCTGTGAGAGAAGACCGCTGCACGCTAACCGGATTACTTAGCAAGTAATAACCTAGTATAAGAAAACCACAATCAATCACAACTGGCTTCTACGTACGTCTTAATTAACCTTGTCATTCAATTAGATTTATTTTATGGAGGTAAGAGAAACAATCAAAAAGAATTTTATGAGCATGAAGAAGCACTTTGTTAGTAATGGGCGCCCATGTGGCATGACCATTTGAATTTGAATTTGGAATCCTATCCAAATAGGTTTTGAAATTGAATTCAAACCTATTTAGGATAACCACTCAAGATACAGATATTATCAGTTTTAACTGATATGGATAGATATAATAATATATTATATATCTGATATATGGTTATGGGTAATTAAGAGAGAAACAACGTATGATCTGTTTCTACCCATATACTGACTCTCTCCTAAAAACAAACGATCATGTCATTTGTACTGTGATTTGTGTGGGTGATATTCAATCTGTGATATCACTTCGCTGCTGGGTTGGTTTATGGAAGCACGTGATTTATCCACGAGGTTCTATCATCAAAAAGGTATGATCTAAACATTTTATCCGCTGCATGTTTTGTACTTTGATTTACAGTTTGAAATGTAATGGTCTTTTTTTTAAATAAATAATGTTAGAACTTTCTTAGTTATAAAGTTCTATTTTGTTTGGTTTTCAAAATCTATTTTTAGAATTTTTTTCTAAGAAATTAAAAATTAAATTGGTGAAAAAATTATAAATACATCATTTTTATATAATTTTATCTTTTGGGAAGGTAGAAATAATTTTCTAACTTAATTTTTTTTATATTTATTTTTTTAAATTAGTTTCTATTTTTTCAAAAGTCAAATATGGCAACAACTTTGATGTCATTATTAAATCAATCCATTAAATTAAAAAATCCAAAACTAAAAATATTTCATATAGTAAATAGATTGATTACATATACCATGCATTGCATGATAACCATCCAAAAATATCTGTAAACAACAAATACAACCATCTATTATATGATAACTATATAAAAAAAAAATAACAAAAATAATCACCCATTACATGATCATCATCCAAACACATACTAAAATGTAATTTGGTAAAAAAATAAAAATGTAAAAGATTT